TCCCTAATTCACTTCAAAGTGGAAAAAGTGACTTGGGACGCGTCTAATGCCATGCCGGTGACAGCATCGCAACAGAGCGGCGTGACGTCGCAACGGGACGTCGGCCTCGGCCAATCAGCGCTCGCTCCGCGCACGCACAGATGGGAAGAGTTTAAAAAAGATTGTGGAAAAGAAGATGTGGCCCGAACCTTCCCACATGATCGGACAGTTGGACTGGAGGTTCCAGATCTAACGTTACATCGCCATCCTCGCGTCTGAGTCAGTTGAAAAGCGCAATGACAACGCATTTCAAGAGCGGACCTGCTTTTGGACTGTCTGCGGAGGTCAAGAGTAAGGTAGGCGTCTGCTTTGATTGACAGCTGTCAAAGATGCGCGGGGCAGCGCGTGCGCTACTGAAGTTAACACGTTACGGTATCATTTATATCATTTATTATATCATTTATTTGATCACGGTGTCAAATTCTATGCCAGGAATTTGTGTTGTTTTTTTTTAAGTGTTGACATCATTTCAGATATGTCAACAAGAGGGTGTGAATTATGAAAGTTAATGGGGATCCAAACCAACTAATTTTGTCTGCACCAAAGTAAGCAAAACAAAAGGGGCAAGAAGGAAAATAGGTCTTAAAAGTGTAATCTTTCAAACAGAATTTCAGTAACAAAAAAAGAACAAATAAGTAAGAGTAGGCTACAAGTTAGTACGTGCGCTAATAACAGAAGTAAGTTAATAAAGCGCGTTTCCATAGCAACTCTTCACCGCCAGACCACGTTCTGTTTGCATTATTATCAGACGGTAAGTTGACAGAACACCTACGGTTATTTTCACCTTAATAAAGGTTTACATCGCACAAATATGATGATTGTTTCGTTTTAAACGCCTTGAAAATGTAACGTTTAGCTAACTGTGCTAGAGACGCCGAAAGCAGGCTAGAATTTGTGATATGCAGTGACATGGATGGATAACCGTAAACTCGCCTCAGCTTCTGGCTAAACTTTACGAACTTAACCAAATATTGTAATTGTTGACACCTAGCACTCATTCCTAAGTATGAAGTGTCATGAATGAAGGTGCAAATTGATGTTTAGTTGATTTTAGTCAAATTTGCACATTGTTTTGATGAAGTTGCATCTTTAAAATGGCAAAATAAAAACCATGTCAGTCATACTGAAATATTTACTAGCTTTGCTTGCCTCATGCCTCAGTCATAGCTTTTGTCCTTGACGTTATTGTATTGATTCCTCTGTCAAACTTCTGCCACATTTACTCCCATCATAGTCTTAGTGGTCCACTTTTAAAAGTACCTCAAATGTTGGCTTTTTGCCTTGAGCTGTCATTGATATCTATATCACTTCCTGAGCACCACGCATATCTGTATTCTCTGGGTTACCAGAAGTCATGCTGCACAATTTCAGGTGTCACACTGTGGATTTTGTGTGTCGTTGGTATTATGTCAGGAGTGTCTTCTTGAGCACTAGGTATGTGGTTTTCGGTCCCCATATAAGGAAGAGTTGTGTTCACTCACAATATCTGAGAAGAGGAGCATGTTGTAAACAGTTTAGAATAAGGAGGAGCATTGTTGGACATCCCACCCTGATGCTGGAAGATCATCTTTGTTCCAGCCAACGGGGAACGTTCACAAAGGTTTTTTTGGCAAGGTTCTCTCAATGTTATGAACAAACATTTTCCCTGTAACATTAATTCAAAGTTATCTGGCCTTCTATAATGTTCTTAAAATGTTAGCACAAAAACATTACTTATGCATTGTTTATGGAACTTAAAAAAAAACATGAGATGGTTTAGAGAACGTTCAAAAGTTACATTCACATGATGTCTGCAAAATAATCAAATATAACATTCCCCTTAATGTTGTCTTTAAGTAAAAAAAAAAAAAAACTTTCAGAGAACATTAAAAAAAAAATAACTTAAAGAAAAAAAACATAAGATAGCTTAACAAGAGCCTCTGTGGTTCCATGATGAAGAACCTTTAAATTCCATTACATAAAAGGTTCTTTATAAGGGGAAACATTCTTTACACTCTTAAAAAATAAAACTTCCAAAAGGGCTTAAAAAATAAAGTTTCATAGCAATTCAGTAGAATAACCATTTTGGGTTCCCAAAAGCCTTTCAATCAACAGAACCATTTTATTTTCTTAGTGTGAAGAACATTTTAATAATCGAAAGAATTTTTTTCCGCTATAAAGAACATTTTGTCCAGTGGAAAGGTTGATGGAACCATTGATGCCAATAAAGAACCATTCTTTTTAAGGGTGTAGAATAGATATTTACAAAGTTCCTCACACTAAGACAAAGTATTCTTCTATGGCATCAGTGCTAAAAAATAAATAAATGATAAATTAATTAATTTAGAACCGGTGTTTTTAAGAGTGTCGAATATATTTTTGTTAGCTATATTTTTGTTATACTTGGACTATGACCTGTTCTTTAAAAAAGGTCAGAAAATTACATTAGACTTTTATTTGTCTTTTTATCCTTCGTTATGCACCAATGAAAGACCTCTTACCCTCTTAAAAATAAAGCTTCCAAAAGGGTATTTTTACAATGATGCCATAGAACAGGGGCTCTCAACCTTGGTCCTGGAGGGCCACTGTCCTGCAGAGTTTTGCTCCAACCTTGATCAAACTCACCTGCCTGTAGCTTACTAATAATCCTGAACAGCTTAATTAGCTGGTTCAGGTGTGTTTGATTAGGGTTGGAGCTAACATCTGCAGGACAGTGGCCCTCGAGGACCAGGGTTGAGAAAGCCTGCCATAGAAGAACCAAGTTGGGTTCCCAAAAGAACAGTTCTTAAAAGAAACATTTTTTAAAAATGTTCTTAGTGTGAAGACTATTTTAATAATCTAAAGAACCTTCTTCATTTGTGTAACAAAAAGATCCCATGTATGTTACAGGTTCTTCATGGAATCATAGATTCTTTATTTTTAGGAGTTAGGAATCATATACAACATAACTGCTAAAAATAAATGTCAATGTACAACATGCAGGTATTTCTAGTATAACCAAGGGTATAAAGGAATGTTATCCGGGCAGTCTTTGACAGAATTCCTGCTTGGAAAAAAAATCCAATCTTGGCCTGGCCTCTATAGAGTTAGACTGAGGTCTGTTCCAGATCCAGAATGAGAGAAAAACAATAAATCAAGCTCTGTGCAGAATTCCTTGGAAGCTTATGAGTGCTATCGGTCTTGGCGTTCTTTTATCGGACACATTTAGCGTGTGCGAAGTACGTCACTTCACACGAGCAGACAGGAGCGAGAAGAAACGATAGTGAGGAGCTAAAAATCAGAATGGAGGGCATCAGCTGTGGGTGGAGAAGTGGCATGGAGGACCGAAAGAGAAAAGGCCAACAATAACACTGATTTAAAGTTACAGTGTTTGTTTGGCTTCCACACCAGCACACCAAACTTGGGAAAAACAGCTCTCTCTCTCTCTCTTCCTTTTTTCTGTCTTGTTCTTCCTTTATTAGAAATACTTGAGGAGTGAAAGACTGAGATCTATTGCGTTGCTGTTGAGAGTAAATATTTTGCCAACGCTGCAATACAATGAAGGAGACAATCATGCAGGAATATAAGGAACCTTATATTTGATATTCCACTTCTTCTTTTCCTTTACAGCGCAGTCAGCCACAGCCATAATGTTTCATTTGAAGAAATCCATCTGATGAACTGAGACAAAGAGAAACATTATAAATAAGTTATGGCGTTTATTTGGAAGAAAATGTTTTGGATGAAGAGCAGATATGCATGTCTTGTCATTCATCTTTTTTCAAATCAATATTGAGATATTATTTTAAAAAGTATACTGTATAAGCTACCATTCAAAAGTTTGGAGCCACTAAGATTTTTTTTTTCGTTTGAAAGAGGTTAATACTACAGAAAACACGCACAATATTAAGCAGCAAAAGTGTCCTCAACACTGATAATAATCTGATATTATTTTTGAGCATCAAAGCAGCATATTAGAATGATTTCTGGAGGATCATGTGACACTGAAGACTGGAGAAATAATGCTGAAAATTCAGCTTTGAGCACAGGAATAAACTACATTTTACAATATATTCAAATAGAAAGCAGTTATTTGAAATTGTAATAATATTTCATAATATCACAGTTTTTACCCCTGTTTTATTTTCTACTTTTCAAATAAATGCAGCCTTGTTGGGCCTAAGAGACTTATTTCAAAAACAGTAAAAAATCTTATTGACCCCAAACGGTAGTGTGTATGTGTGAGTAAACGTGTGTTATTTTATATTTTTAAAGTGTTTCTTTTATTTGACTGTTATTTTTTAATTTAACTAGTCTTGCAGTGCAATTAATGAATTAAAAGCTGTATGTGTAAGAAGTCTTTAATAAAGTATTGTAGCGTATGCATTCTGCAAGGCAGACGTGTTTAGTAATTTTTTGACCTTTGACCTCCAGCTGGCCCACAAATATGACCCACAAAAGGAGGAGGAGCTAAGAATGTGGATCAGTGAGGTCACAGGCCGCAAACTTCCCGAGAACTTCATGGAGGGACTGAAAGACGGAGTTATACTCTGCGAGTGAGTGAGCCATTCATTCATTCATTCATTCAACAGCTATGAAGTTCAAAGACCTTCATATAACAGATTATTCAAAGGATGTTATCAATCGCTCATTTCTGCATGTTTATTATTTATGAACAGGCTTATCAACACTCTTCAACCCGGTTCTGTGAAAAAGATCAGCAACTCTCCTCAAAACTGGCATCAGGTGAGCAAGAATATCACATTCTCATGTTTATCTGGGGTTTTAAAACATTTTGAAGGCCTTATTGCGGGGATCAGAACAGAAATCAGTAACATATTCCAGGAATTTTTTTAATTTCCATATTCATGCAATTTACACAGTTACAAGTTCTTTGCCAATTAGAAAAATCGAATAAGCGCTGATCTTCTGTTCCAAATATAAACAGGGTTTCTGGTGCCTTTGGAATCAGTTGTGCGTACTTTCAGATTCCTGACAAATCACAGAGCGCGTCACTTTATTCTTGGTTTGGCCTTGTTTGTTGCAGCTGGAAAATATTGGTATTTTCGTCCGAGCCATTCAAGAGTATGGACTGAAGCCACATGATATATTTGAGGCCAACGACCTGTTTGAGAACGTCAACCACACTCAGGTCCAGTGCACGCTTATTACACTGGCTGGGATGGTGAGTCACACATTATGCATTTTAATACAGAAATGATAAGGACTAAGTCAAGACTGAAGATTAAGGACTTCTGTATTATTCCTACTTTTTATTTCTAAAGTTCATAGTAAGGAGATTCATATGGGAGTGTTTAACTGTTAGCAGAGAGATTAACATCAAAACATGTGGTATTTGAGCTGGATGATCAGTCGTTTTTCCACAAACCAACAATCTAGTAAACACCAAAAAAGGAATCTCTCTTCTCTTTGTGTGTTCAACGTGTAAGAAGTTACTTGCACGGGTTTGTTTTGTATCTGAAATAATAACATCCTCTACTTCTATGCCTTAAATGGGAAATGTCTGGTTCCTTTATTATTTACTTTTATTTATCTGTCATTATATTGAAATGCAGGCAAAATCTAAAGGCGTCCATTCTAAATACGACATTGGAGTGAAATACGCAGAGAAACAACAACGCAAATTTGCTCCAGAGAAACTAAAGGAGGGACGCAATATTATTGGTCTGCAGGTCAGTAGTTGTTCATCAGTAATAACCTTTTTTCTTTGTATATAAAAATAAAATATATATAATTTTTTTTAATTAAAGCTTTATTCATTGAAAAAAAAAAAAAGTAATCAAGAAAATAAAATTTTTAACCAAAAGGTATAATGATGCCGGTTACTGAGATTTTATTAAATCAAATTCAATTGTATCTGTTATATATTAGCATATTAATATTATTTTATATAAGCATTAATGTCTTATTTTTATATTTATTTGATATATTTGTTTATATTTATTTACATTCTATTTTTATGCATATATTATACAGTGTTATATTATATATTAATGTTTTTTTTAATTATATACTACATTTAAAAAGTAAAAAAAAAAAAAAGTTATTAATACTTTTTATTCAGCAATGATACATTAAATTGATCAAAAGTGACAGTAAAGACATGTTGCAAAAAAAAATTCAATTTCAAATAAATGCAATTTTTTATAACTTTCTATTCCTCAAAAATACTGAAAAAAAGTATCACAAAAATAAGTTCACAAAGTTTCAGTATTGATAATAATAAATGTTTCTTGTGCAGCAAATCAGCATATTAGACTGATTTCTGAAGGATCATGTGACACTGAAGACTGGAGTAATGATGCTGAAAATTCAGCTTTGATCACAGAAATACTGTAACGGGGCAACTGAGAAGAGAGGCGTGCAGATCCATATGCAAACTTTTATTAATAAACATGATCAAAAAACACAGGCAAGGTTGAACAACAGCAAACAGGTATGGCACAGGCAAGACAAAAGAACAATCCAAAACGGGCTTGAGTCAGACGACAGTGAACGTTATTCACAGGGCTTGACAAGAGAGGTAATACGTAAACGTGAGCAATAGTCCAGGCGAGGGGCAAACGCAGTCCGAAACGGCAAGGCAAAAGGTAAATCCAAGATACGCGGGTAAGAATCAGAAGACTACGAGACTAGACTAAGACTAGAACTAGGAACTGAGACTAGGAAGTAGAAACTACGACAGGGAAATGGTTTTGTAAAGTGCTATCACTTGGAGAGCAATAAACGCAGACAATACTCTGCGTTGAATGGTGGTGTGAGACTGATTTATATAGTGTGCGTTATTGGTAGCATCTGTGTGTGATTGGTTTCAGGTGAGCTTGTGATTAGTGCAATGGAGCATGGGAAATGTAGTCCAGGGTGATGTGTAACAGTCTGTGTAGTGTGAGAGTCCATGTGGAGAGCGGGTGACCTCTGGTGGTGAGTGAACGGAAGTTTATAGACTGGATTCGTGACAAATACATTATATTTTAATACCTATACAAATAGAAAACAGTTATTTGAAATTGTAATAATATTTGACAATATTACTGTTTCTACTGTATTTTTGATCAAATAAATGCAACCCTGGTGAGGCTTCTTTCAAAAACATTTAATTATTAATGAACAAAAAAAAAGACCCATAGTGTAACAGTAGTGTATGCATGTTATATAATTTCATTTTTCGAGTCATTCCTTATCTATAACATCTTGACAGTTATTTTTTTCCTCACTCATTTGCGTTTTCAGATGGGCACCAATAAGTTTGCCAGTCAGAAGGGCATGACATCTTACGGCACACGGCGTCACCTCTATGACCCAAAGACGGGTATGGAGACTCCTCTGGACCAATCAACAATCAGCCTGCAGATGGGCACCAACAAAGGAGCCAGTCAGGTACTCAAAACGCTTTCAGAATTTGTTTTACAATTCCTAGTACTGTTCATATTTCTTTCCCTTTTCCTCCTCCGCAGTCCGGCATGACGGCCCCCGGCACCAAGCGCCAGATCTTCGATAAGAAGCTGGACATGGAGATGTGCGACACCTCTACCGTCTCTCTGCAGATGGGCACCAATAAAGTGGCATCCCAGACCGGCATGACGGTGTACGGTCTGCCGCGTCAGGTGTACGACAGCAAGTACTGCTCCAGCCCAAATGACTACAACGGCCAGGACTCAGAGATGGATGGATATCAGGATTCTGACTAGGATGAACAGACAGCTGCCAGCACACTGCTTTTTTTAAAACTCACCTGCACTATTTTTAAATTCCAAAGTCATGTCGACCAGTAGGACCAGCTTCAACTGTTTCCTGACACCACAGCCGCCGATCAAAGCTGAGAACCTCAGTGACTGACCGTTCGTAGAAAACAAACTTAGGAGGAATGTCTTTAACATGTCTTTTACACACATGCTTCTCACTTATATAGTTTTATTATTATTTTTTTTTCAGTTTTATTTGATTTTATTGCTATTTTTGAGCGTGTCATTTTCCCATCTCCTGCATGGCCCAATTTTCTTATATGAAAAAATAATGCAGATGATAAATGTGGAGGTATTATATTTATGATGCCTCATAGTTACAGTACATATACACTACTAGTTTAGAATCATATAAGTATCTCATGCTCACCAAAACTGCATTTATTTGGTTAAACATACAGTAAAACAATGAAATACTATTACAATTCAAACGAACCGTTTTCTGTTTGAATATATTGTAAAATGTAGTTTATTCCTGTGATCAAAGCTGCATTTTCAGCATCATTACTTCAATCTTCAGTGTCACATGATCCTTCAGAAATCATTCTGATATGCTAATTTGCTGCTTAGTTATTATAGGTGCTCAATTGTTTTTAATGGTTCTTATTATTATCATGTTTTTGCTGCTTAATATTTTTGTGGAAACTGTGATACATTTATTTGAGCATTATAAATGTATTTACTGTCACTTTTGATCAATTTAACGGATCCTTCCTGGAAAAAAAATGAATTTCTTTAAAAATTGTACCCTACATTTTTGAATGGTAGTGTATTGTTTAAAAAAAAAATGTTTTATTAAAAAAACACCAAAAACTCAACAGTGATAAGAATAAGAAATGTTTCTTGAGCAGCAAATCAGCATATAAGAATGATTTCTGAAGGATCCTGTGACACTGAAGACTGGAGTAATGATGCTGAAAATACAACTTTGATCACATTTTATTTTAAAATATATAACAATAGAAAACAGAGATTTGCAATTGTAATAATATTTCACAATATTACTGTTTACAGTATTTTTTGATCAAATAAATGCAGCCTTGATAAGCAAGAGACTTCCTAAAAATAAAAAGTTTACAAATATCTGTTATTCCAAACTTCTGCCCCATAGTGGATTTTCAGTGGATTTGGTCACACCAGCAGCTTTTAATAGGTTTCATGATGCTCTTTTGATTGGATGGAGGAAGAGGAAATCCAGCAAAGACGCCCCACTACTGCCAATTTCCCAAAGAATCCCAAGTGAACTTCACTACTGCGTCTAAGAGATTGTCTGGATTTTTTTTATAGATGCTGTCATTCAGCTATAAGCTTCAAAACAACATTGAAATACTGTCAAATAATAATAATGTCGATTCTGCGTAATTGTTTGAAAGGGTGTAAACCCTGCTCCAGCACACCTGCTTGTACTTCTCAAATCATTCTGATTAGCTAATTCAGACGTGTTAAATAGAGTTGCAAGAACTTGAAATTGAGTTTGAGAGTCCTTCCCTAAAAGCTGATTCACTGACAGGAACGCTATCGGAGGATGTTGATCATGTCCTGCTGGGGTAAACACAGTAAGCATCTTCATTCATCAGAAAACCTGCATGTGGAGTCATTACTAAGAAAACGAGAAAAGTCAAACGAAAGGGAGAGGAAGCTGAAATCTCAATGTCTCGGTGAATGAAGTGAGAAGTACATGTCTTTTGTAGTGCAGAATAGTATTTCATCAAGCTACTAGAGATTGCCCACAAAGCAATTTATCTACATTATTTTTAGTATAATTATTGAAAGACATTTTAATAATTAATTAAGCTAGTAAAATGACTTTTTGGGGCAGTCTGGTTTTTTTGGGGGGGGATTCAGTTTATCCTTTTATTAGAGTATAGACGGACAAATAGAGAACAAACTACTGTTCGTTTTTTTTCTTCAATACTGCGAAAAATCATGTGAACCAAAACTGCATGACTTAAATTGTAATGGCACCCTTTTTCTTTTTCTTTTTGAGAAAAATGACTCGCTCCCAATAGCTATATAGAAATTATTTCGTAAACTTAACGAGTGTTACCGCTTTTAGCCTGCCAAACCTGATGCTCAATTATGAAAGTGAAATTATGCAAACATACAACGGGCAAGACCTGCTCACTATTTAGGATGGTTGTGAGTCTACATATAAAATAAGTTTTAATGTGCATAGTTAATATATTTAGCTATTTAAAAAAAAAAAACTTAAAAACGTTTGGACATGACTAGATCTCACCCTCATGTAAATCAGTTGTTGAAGATATTAGTCATATTTCATTTCTATATCAGTGTGTGTTAAGGATTGTCATTGTTTTGCATTACCGCTGGAAACAGCTGAACACAAGAACATAAAACGGTGAATTACTTTAGTTTCTCACAGAAGGTGATGCAGCGTGTCCCTCTTGCATTAATGCTTCTAATGTCTTAATTTATAAGGCTTACCAACAAAGGCTGAGCAAGTGAAAAACTAATAAATCACTATTTTCAAATGACTTGTCTTTATTTTCCATGAGTACTGGTTAAAAACTGATTTTTTTTATGAACATTTACATTTGAACTGATTCCACAACCGAAACGGACCACAGATTTCCATAAGAGAGAACATGCAGATGTTTTATAGACACTACATGGTCTTCTAAAAACCTAAATTGTAAAATAATCAAGACAAACTAAAAGATTAGAAACAAATGAAAACAACCCCAAAACACAGCCATTTTGAAATGATGTTCGTTGCATTTTCTCAGCATTTCTGTAACGATAAACAAAAGGGAAAAGGCTGAATTTTAAATCCTCATCATCTCAATGTTGCCCGAACCTCCATCTGTGGCTTTCTTCGATCATTCTTTCAGCTTCAATACAAGACCGAACAGTGAATCAGTACAGGAGTTTAAAACAAACTAAAGTCTTCAAGTGTATTTGGTCGTCTGTGACATTTGACCCAGCAAAACTACTGATTGGCTGCTTCACAAGCATCTATCCAATCACTGTACACGTCCACCGGCTCCGAGAGATCTGAGAGGGTGATTAAGGACAAGACCGCCGTCACATTAAACAAATAATTCACCCCCAAATTTGCTGAAAATATTAACAAAGAAACGTTGTTTCTAACAAACACGCAGCTTTTCACTTCACAAGACATTAACTGATGGACTGGAGTGGTGTGGATTATTGTGATGTTTTGATCAGCTGTTTGGACTCTGATTCTGACGGCACCCATTCAGAAGAGTGAGCAAGTAATGTAAGCCTACATTTCTCCAAATCGGTTCCCATGAAGAAACAAGCTCCTCTACATCTTGAATGGCCTGTGGGTGAGTAAACTCAGCATATTTGTATTTTTGGATGGACTATTCCTTTAATATGCATTAAATACCGATACTCCTATCTTATAAATGTATCAGATTTCGAGAAGGATACAAGTTATTGGTGTCTGGAATTCCTCTAGACACACAGTACAGGATATTATCCCAGTATTTCGACTTCGTTCCCTGGAATAAAGTAGAAGTTTTGTGCATTAGTGATAGTTTTGTCAGATCTTGAAGTAACACTTAAGGAGTTTTATTGCATCTTACATCTTGACGTCACATGATTTCTCGTGGTTACAGAAGGGGCAGGTAAACTGGGTGTCCAGATTTCCGGTCATCTTTTTCTTGGGAGGGGGTTTTCTCTTCGACTTTCTGCGTCCCATCTTTTGCTTCATGGAGGAAAATTAGATGAAATATACCTTAAAGCAATCTTTGAACATTAACTGAAGGAGCCGCTTGTGTCAAATACACAGAAGCTAACAGGCCTTTGCAGCCATGAGGTTTGCAACATAAACACACAGACCTTTATGTAATAACATTTAGCATCTAAAATGAATGGACATTCTTTCTAACAACAGCTTAAACCACGCTGATTGTGCATTTTGTCTTAAAACTGAAACGACAGTAATACACATTTATATTTAAACTGGTGTGTATCTAGCTGGCATGTTTCTAATGTTTATTTTTATTTAGTTTTAACATTAAGATATTTAGAGGCGCTCTGAGATCTTAGAGGCAACATAAACACAATCAGTAAAATGGAAATACAATATAAACCATATGGCCAAAACACTCACGATAAATATACAGGCATTTAAACATTTAAGAAAGTCATTATGCTTTCTGGGGAAAACAAATCTCTTACCAAACCGCGATGAATGTGAGGCGACTCTCCAGGAAACCGAGCACACAGCGCCTACAAAGAATAAACAGAAGATGTACTTCCGCTCGGTCCAACGTCCCTGCGGTTTAAAAGCGGAGCGCCCTCTAACGGTGAACACCAGAACCACACCAGAGTTCAAAACGGAGTTCGTTTGGTGAGAGAAAACAACGTGCGATTTCAGTGAATATTCATTGTGTGCATTCTGTGCGCATAGTTTTCTTTCAAACAATTCTCCTTTTTATGCTCGTATAAACGCTTGGTTTCAAATAGCCCAAGTTCCTTTGGTTTAAATGAGGATCAGCTCTGACCCCTACCGTTAAACATCAGAACTGCAATATTATCTAATAATTTCATTGGGTGAGTACGAGCACACTATAATTGAACTGTTTTAAGAAAATAAATAAGTCTATATCGTTGTCAGAAGCACTTATTATGTGTGTGTGTGTGTATGTATGTGTATATGTGTATGTATATGTGTGTATCTGTGTATATGTGTATGTATATGTATGTGTGTGTGTGTGTGTATGTATATGTATGTGTGTATGTGTGTGT